GTGCAGTGGGGAGACAGTCTCTGGTCCTGAGGGCACCTAGGCTGGTCAGCTTTGCAGCAGAAGGGACACCAGAGACATTGGCAGAAGATAAAAGGGCTGACTCTTAGCAGGGGTTAATCCAAGGTTTTATTCCAGGAGTCCCAAAGGAGCCCCTACACCTCAGGGGGCTCCTGATGAGAGCCTGGAAGATGTGCCAAGGTTCCATTTAAAGGGAGGTGGAAACCCAAAGTAGAGAACATTTCACTGACCAAAAAGTGACCCTAAGGGATGGATACTGGGGAATGGACATTCAGGACAGCTTGAAGGGTTGACCCCTGGCCTCTGGCTGATCACTCAATGTTCTGGACTGAAACTTCTAGATGGAGGGGATGGGATGCTGAGAGATTGACAGAGAGCCAGAGTGGGGATTTGGGGATGATCTCAGCCAAGGAAAAGGATTACACAGGTAAAGGGAGGGGGTACAATCTGGAATAAACCATTTGGGAAAAATACGGGGATACAAAACCAAACAATTACAAAGTATTACAAAGTATAAAAACACACTACGACAATGAGCTGATAATCACTAAAGAGCTGACAATCACTAAGGAGCCCCCCTTCCAGCCCTGCCTGCTCCTTCCACCATCCCAAACTGGAAAATCCCCCAGGACTGGGATGTTCTGTGCAGGCAGTGCTGCTTTTCAGTGTGGACTTGGTTTGATTCAGCACAGGGAGCCCTTCCAGGGCCTGTCCAGAGCTCCAAAGCCAGGCTGGAGCAGGGAAAAAGCTCCAGAGCAGCAGCTGGGGGGCGAGGTGGATTTGACATGCAGGGAATGAGGCTGGATGGTGGCAGGGAGTGAGGCTGGATGGTGGCAGGGAGTGAGGACAGATGGTGGCAGGGAGTGAAGCTGGATGGTGGCAGGGAATGAGGCTGGATGGTGGCAGGAGTGAGGCTGGATGGTGGCAGGGATGAAGCTGGATGGTGGCAGGGATGAAGCTGGATGGTGGCAGACAGGCTGGATGTGGCAGGAATGAGGCTGGATGGTGGCAGGGAATGAAGCTGGATGGTGGCAGGAATGAGGCTGGATGGTGGCAGGAATGAGGCTGGATGGTGGCAGGAATGAGGCTGGATGGTGGCAGGGAATGAAGCTGGATGGTGGCAGGAATGAG